GGGGGGGGGGGGGGGGGGGGGGGGATCAGATCCCATTGGGAACCACCCAGCCAGGCAGGAGGGAAGTCTCAAGTGGGGAATTAATCTCAAATCCTTGCATAGTCACAAGAGATCCAGAACTGAGCCCCTCTCTCCCAAGCTCCAATGAACCTTATCTATATTTCCTCAGGAGAAAATTGGAGAGATTATTATAGATCAGATATAGTAAAATAGTTTAAATTCTACACCTGGGGATTAGGTTGCTTGGGCCTGACAGATGGTCCAATTTGTGACTGCCACGACTTACAGCCACAATTGCAGGCTCAATTACAGTTATAACTTGAGAACAATTTGTTCAGTGAAGATAATTGGCATCATTGATTAATTGGCATCATTGTGCTAAAAATAAGCAATAATGCATTCATGTCAACTAAGTAAATTATTCTAATGTACTATTACAGTTTTAAGAACCAGAACTGTCTGTTAACAATAAAAGTAATAGAGAACTGTGGAACACCCTTGAAGATTTATATTATAAATATATTTGCTAAAGCGGTAAAATATTGGAAGTCTTTTTTCTTGTTACATCATGCCCAAGGAAATAAAAAATATTATGTTCAAAGATGTAATTAACTTTTTTTTAAATTTCTTTAATAGTTTTAATACATATATTTTAGGAAAGCATTATTTCAGGTGCTATTGTCCAATAACTCTCTTTGTATTCTAGTTCATAGAATATTTATATTTTTAAATTTAGAATATAAAAAACTATACAAGTTCCTTTTAAATAGTTAATTTAACTATTAAATCATTAATTCTATGGTAGAATAATAATAGCAGGTACTGAAATATTGAGTAATGACTTTTGCATTCTGTCAGTATCTTATACAATTAAATGCAGCAAGAAGTTTGATGGTTTAGTCCACCTTTTTTTTCTTACCCTTTCCTTTAATCTCTCTTCTTTTTCGCCAAAGAGTGAAAGCCATTGTTTTTATTTCAAACAGACCTCTCCCATTGTCACAACTATCTCTCGGAGATGAGCCAGCTTTTGCAAAGCATGGAAGTTCTCCATAGGACATATTCGGCACCTGCCATAAATATTCAGCAAGTAAGTTGAAGAAATTACAATTGATGGGGGTCATTCTGCTTGCTAAGGCCAGGTTTCTTTCTAGAATGGTGATAAGTGGTACATTTCTCTTTTTCACATGCTGTTGTAAAGGGTCTCCTTTTTGAAAGTCCCAAAAAAGAAAAAAGAACACACAGAAGATGGCGTTCTAGAGCTCTTGGTAAAGATGCTAAAGGGATGTTGCAGGTAAACTAACTCTTCTATACCTCAACTTCATTTTTAGTCTATGATAGATGGCATTTGCTGGCAAAAACTTACTTTTGCCAATACAACTTAAACCTTAGTTGCTATTCTTACAGTAGGAAGATATTTCATTCTGCTTGTGAAGGCAGCATGGAATGAGTGGGCTTTTATTTTAGTCAGCCTATTTAGCTTTTTGGCCAGTTCACTTTTCAGAAAGAATAAACAGTTATTTTCTTATAAAGAAATCTGCTGATAAGAATTCAATCTTTTGGGAGAATATCAAATCCAAAGGGAAAACAGGGAAGAAAGATAGGGTTACATTCATTCTGTGTGCATTTATTTGTGCATTGTTTCACAGTACACAATATGTAGGAAGGCACAAATCCCTCAACTTAAGTGGAAATTTCTGAGATAGGGCAGGAAACCCGAACAGAAATATTAACATAGTGGTAGTTAAATGTGATTAAATATGCTTTGTATGATTTTTGGTTCAATAAAAAAATTTATCATTTACTGGATACCATCTCTTTTTGTTTTATCACATTCAATATATCTGACTTGCATTTATTTTTCTCCTGGCATAGCCAGCGCTCACTTCTATATAACAAAATAGGCAGAAACCTGCTGTTATGCATACCTATTTTCATTTCTTTCAATCAATCTTTTTAACAGATTACATGGTAGAAAATTTTCTACCAGCTTGTGCCTGTCTTTAAATTTTCTCCATCTATTCTCCTATCTCTTCTAAACATTTTACAAAATATACTAATTCATCTGCTTTCTATAGTTTTTCACCATAATCTCTACAAATGCACATAAATCAAGACATTTACTTTATTATATACTTTATCTAGATCAATACACTTATAATAAACTTGCTTGTAAGAAGAGTCTAGACAATCATTTATCTAAAATGATTTAGGTTCTCTCCTACTTGAACAATGGGATGGACTAGAAGAACTCAAAGGACCCTTCCAACTCATTCTATTCTGTCCTTGTCCTGTCCTGGCTTATCCTGTCCAAACTTTTTCTCACTCATATTTATTAATTACTTAACTTTCATAAAGGGAAAAATCTGATCTCAACCCTCCCTACTCAGCATAGTCATCCTGCACTTTCCAAATGCTGGTCATTATCATCTCTTTTATTCATTAGTTAGAATTGTGCCAAATATTTTCATGTGGTCTCTTAATGAACTAATCTTTCTATAAGTGCTGCATTTATTCGCGTTGATTTTTCCAGAACAATAAAAGCAAAACCCAGATGGAATTTTCACACACACACACACACACACACACAAAATTGTACAGCCATTCTATAAACAAATCACACCAATGTTTTAACATTTAATCAGTTATACAGTTCTATCTAAACATACATCATTACCATTTTTAGCATTTTATGACATTAACACCTTTCTTTTCAGACATTTCTTGGATGTTAACATCACAGTGTTTGTTCCATTCTTCAACGTATCCTAAAATTTCCATGCATATTTTCTTTTAAAAAAATAAAGAAAATCTTCTTCCAGTATAACCTGGAATTAAGGAGAATCTTCTTAACAGTAAAGACAATTAACCAGTGAAACACCTTGCCTTCAGAAATCATGGGCACTTCAGCACTGGAGATTTTTTTTTTTTTGCAAATTTTATTTGGGTTTTCACAAAAGCAAAATACAAATAAAACATCTTTTTTTGAAAATAGCATGGTCCCAGGTTATAACTTCTTCATACAGACACAGACTCATTTTTATATTCTATGCCATATTACCGTTTTATATTTTCTACATAGTTTTTCCCCTCCTTTAATTTTCTCAACTTTATTTTAATTATCTCATCTCAATTCAAATCATTATATTTATACTTTTGTCTGTCCTGTTTCAATTTCATATTATCTTTTCTTATTAAACAAATTTTTCCCTGTAGTTACCAATTGGAGTATGACACCTTTATATCTTTTAATTTTATCCATTCAAACTCTTATTTAAGCTTCAATGTATACCTTTAAGATTATAGCATTTAATATAATACATAACTTCCAATCGAATTCTGCTTGGTACATTCTTAAAATACACACTATATTCTTAAAAAGAAAAAATTATATATATATGTAAATAAAGCACACATTCCATTCCAATTCAATTCTATCATTAATATTCATTAAAATCTTAACATCTTTAACATTTCTTTTCAATTAAATATCATACTTCCTTGGGAACGCTTACAAACTTTCCATAGTTAATTCTCTTTTTCCATATTTCTCACTTATATTTTTATAAATCATTACTAATAATTAAAATGTTCCCATTTAATTCTCTCAATCACTTTAATTCATTTATTTATTAACAAACATTCCACTACATTACAGTAAATATTTTATCCATCATTTTAATCATATTTTCTAAAATTATTTGTTTGTAATAGAACAATGCTATCTTATGTACCTTTGCAGAATCCCTTTTGCAATTAAATTTTCACCCATTATCTCTAAACAAGCTTATGGTTACAATCCTTATATCTTTTCCCTGTTTCTCCATTTCTTGTTTCTGTCTTTTACAACTTCTTTTCCTTGCCTTCTTCCCCCTCTTCTTCTCCTTCGCCTTTTTACCCCCTCGTCTCTCTACTTCTGACTCTCTCATCTGTAATCCCCTCTTCTGTTGCTTTCTAATATTATACTTATCTTTCAAATTGTTCTTCTTCTTTTTGGTTGTTTTTTCTAGTCTTAAACCTTTCACTCTCTTTTCCCCCTTTTCTTTTTTCCCCCCACTTAAAATTATTTGATCATTAAAGATGGCTTCTTCTTTGTCCCAATCTTCTTGTTCTGCAAGCGTTTCTTGTTGTTTCTCATAGTTCCAGATCTCCATTTCTAAGAATTGAAATACGAAGCCAAAAGAACCTCTCCCTTCTTGTGCATCTTCTTTCCATTTTTTAAGTTCCATTTTCAGTTCTTCTAAGAGTGATACCATTTTAAAGACTTTTAAACAACCACCCGGTTAATTTTAGTCATCTAGATGCAGAAACCAAAAATCACCAAGTAATCCAAATAATCCAAGGCTGTTTCTTCTTGCTTCTTTTTTCACTTTCTCTTCCTGGGGTTCTCTTATTTTGTTACCAAGTTTCAGTTAAAATGTATCTTTGAGGAATCTTGTTAAAATTTCACTGTAAGTTCCTTTTAGTTACAGTTCCATTCCTTAGTTCCAGGAAGTCTCCTCCATTTTCTCTCCTTCGCAGCTTCAAAATCATCTTTGGGAACAATGTTATTAAATTTAAATTCCAGGGTACCTGATTTGTTACTTTTGCTGTTTGACCCGGTCAACCAAAACTTTCTCTTCTTATCTTCCTCCTGCACATTCTTTTCCGGTCGAATTCTTCTTTGTGGTGGCCATTTCTGACCACCGCTACAACCACCTTCGGGAAAGGGAGTAATGGCCAGCTGGGGAGGAGAGATGCGGCTCTCCTCAACCCTGCAGGCAGTCTCCCCCTTCTTACGGGGTGGCTTAGCCCCGAAACCAGCCAGCTCGGGGCGCTTCAGCGGCAAGCATGGATCGAAGCCTCTCAGAGACGAGGCTTCGGTCTGTCGCCGAAGAAGCTCAAACCGGAAGTCCAGCACTGGAGATTTTTAAGAAGAGACTCAACAGTCACTTGTCTGAGATGGTATGGGTTCTCCTGCTTGCACAGGAAGCTGGACTAGAAGACCTCCAAGGTTGCTTTCAGCTTCTATTTTATTCTATTCTTTTTAATCCACACATTCCACTGGAAGTCCTTGTTTAGTTTTATTCACCCATTCCATAGTATTTTTTAAAAAAAAATCCTCAAAATGGTTGTTTCCTCTTCCACTACATTTGAACATTTTTACAAAAAAAGGTTTTTACATTTTTACAAAATTCTGTAATTTTCATAATAAACACTAAACTCTTGAAATTAATTTAGAGAAGTGTCCTAGGTAGAGATCTAAGTATCACAGTATTATTTTTAACAGAAAGGGAATAGATATTTATCAATTTTTCAAATAATCTATTGTGGGAAGAGAAACTGCAGGGCAAAAGAGCCAAACAGAGACAGTAATGGCCATTTTTGGCATTATTTCAGATATAGCAGCACGCTTAATGTTTTGTTTCATTTGTGTGGGAGTTTGTATGCATCGTTTTTGTTCATTGGTTAAAGCATCATGCTAAAACCTGAGAAACTTTGAATTCTAGCGTCACTTTAGGCACAAAGTTAGTTAGGTGACCTTGGGCCAAACACTCTCTCTCAGCCCTAGAAAGGAGGCAAATATTGAAAAACTGCCAAGAAAACTGCAAACATATCCAGACAGTCTCTGAGAATTGGCACAACTGAATGGAAATAAATAAATAATTATAATGTACATTCTTTGCAGGTACCAGCTGTTCTTTCTGCTCCACTAAGGCTGCATGCTTCAAATCCTAATTTATCTACATTAGATTATGGGGATGAAAAATTGTATTCAGATGGTTCTGAGGTGACATCAGAATTTTCTAAATTGCAAGAGGACTTGTGTCACATAGCTCACAAAGGTAATTGGAATTTGTCCCTAATAGAAAGATGATGAAAACAATTTGTAGGTTCATGAAAATGAAACTTGATGAACACTGCATGCAATTTATGAATACCGAATGTTGGACTGCTTTTGGAGACTACAAGAGGTATTTTATAAATATTTCTCTTCATTATCCCCCCCCCCCCCCCCCCCCAAAAAAAGATTGGGAAGACAATCTCATATTGATCATTGTTCTGAATGTAAGGTTTTGGAATATTTTAACACATCAGATATTTGTAAAAATCTTTATCGAAACATGTAAGAGAAGGTTGCCTTAGGTTTACATGTACGGAGGCTCCAAGTAGCTTGCTGAATTTCAGCTTTAGCATTAGTGATGTAAAAGGGTTGCTATGAGAGTAAGCTATTTTAATTAAAACAAAATAGAAAAAAATGTTGAGGGGCTCAACATGACATTAGCAATTGATTTATTTGCAAAATAAATAAAGCAGTAACTTAACCATTGTGCCAACAAAATTATTCCCATCTAAATTCGTTTGAATTGTTTTTCAGGGACTTTTTTTTTATCCAAATGAGACAAGTATTTCTTTTATGCACAACTTTTAAGACATTAATCACAAGATTTGGGTTTGCTTGCTTGCTTAGTGTTCTTTGTTTTCATTGTGTAATGTTGAATAGTTCTACATTTTGACCTACAAATTGCATAATTTCTGTAATCTTTTTAAACTATTTTTGTAGTGTACTTTACCTTAAAGTCAGCTTTCAGTACGATTTCAACAGAAAGAGAGAAGCTGAAGCAAATGTTTGACCATGATTCAGCTGCATCTCCATCTGCTCAGATAATTGGACTGAAGAATGCCTTATCATCTGTAAGTTCCCACATTAATTGGACTTGTGTTCAAAAACTTGTCTTATCAATTACATTAATTCTTCTTGGCTTGATTTTTGCCTTCATTTATTTGACTCAAAATGAATTGAGCTTTGATGTACACTTGTTCATTGATTTCTATAGCCAGTTGCAAATTGTGATTTTTGCCAAGAGCTGCCTAAGTGTGGTAAAAGCTTTTGCAGAAGGCACAATGTGTGTCTTTGTGCTGAACACACAGGCATCTATTTCATTCTTTGTAAAGTGGTACACTTAGTGTGAATAGGTTAATAGTCTTATCTCCAAGTAGTGGCTCTCATATTTCATTACAGAATTTAGTGAAATTAATGATAAAAAATATTTCCAGTGCCCAGGATAATCTGTGCTTGTTAATCTCTCTATTGTTGCTCAAACCATAACTTTGACTCCCAGATGGTAGACAAAGAGGATTGTGGGAGCATCTATCCATTTATCTCCTCTCTTTTATACTGTATACTCGGCTTTTGAATTTATATGATAAAATATAAATTGATAGAATGAACTGGTTGTATCATTCTATCCACATTAGGGCAATCTGGGGTTTGCCTCCACCACCATTATTTTCATTCCCTAAGTCTTAAGAAACATCTTGAAAGCAGTCCCTGATAATTTGGCTAAATAAGGTAGAATAAAATCCCATTATTAACTTTGAGTTCATTGATATTTGATATTTGAATGAAACCTAGCCACTAAGATAAATTTCAAAAAGTCAGCCTGCAGGACAATCCTTATGCAGTCACTTATCTGAGTCCCAAGCAAGATAAAATTGGCTTCGGACAACCTGCTGTTTAGATTGTTGATGATTAGTGATTGGTATCATCAACAGCAGTCAATTTTGAAAGGGGAAAAATGTATCATGATATAAAACAAATGATCCATATATTTGATACTGAAACTGAAGGAAATTGGGATATGATAAATTGCCCTATGTACAGACTTTCCCAAATATAGTTCCAAGATTGGAAGCATGGTGCAGAACAGAGTGGTGGAATAAATCATAACACTTGTTGCAGTGCTTCCCACATATAAATAATTGCGCAATACTTTTAAAGGGATAAAGGCTTTTGTGAAGCTGTGGTGCAATATATCATTACTTATTTTGCTTATTTTAGAATGTATACTATATAAGAGTATGAAAAATGGTATTTTCCCTCTTCATTTTGAAGTAAGCTCTATTTTCATCTCTCTGGAATTCCTTTATTTTTCCCCATTCTTCCATATCCCATAAGCAAAGTCTGCCACATAATATTGTAAGATCAGGTTACTGTATATACTCGAGTATAAGCCTAGTTTTTCAGCCCATTTTTTGTGCTGAAAAAATCCCCCTCGGCTTATACTCGAGTCAGATTCCCCTCTAAAAAAAAATGGTGTGGAGTCACGGCCTCCGGCGGCAGCGACTCCCAACAGCCCCAGCCGGGAAGGGAAAGGCAAAAAGCGCTTTGCCTTTCCCTTCCCGAGGCGGCGGGACTGGGGCCGCGCCGGCGGTAGTGACTCCTGACTCAGGGGGCCTCCGAGGGAGGGGAAGAGAGTGACTCCTGCCTCCCGCTGTCATCATCATCTTCTTCTTTTGGGTTAGTGAATCAATTAAACCTTTCATGATAGTGAGATCGTTTCCCAAATTAATTATTTTTATTTTTGAAATTTACCAGTAGCTGCTGCATTTCCCACCCTCGGCTTATACTCGAGTCAATAAGTTTTCCCAGTTTTTTTTGTGTAAAATTAGGTGCCTCGGCTTATATTCGGGTCGACTTATACTCGAGTATATACGGTATGTTAATAATTTTAGAAGATGATTTTGTAGTGTGAAAATAAAAAGCAATATTTAAACTGCAGATCAACAACTTTGGTGCTAAGATGTGAACAACTATAGAATGTTTAAAACTTTTGTGTAGAATGATCTATACATTAATAATTACTGCATCATCCCCATTCATTTAGCTCTTAAATATTTTACAGCCTTCAGCTCGTAGTTGCTATATTCTCTAAAGAACAATAGTTCTGTTTTTTGCCTAGATCAGAGAATTAAAAAAATAGGCTGGAGCTAAAATATTCTAATAGTTTATTCAGCTCTGGTGGATACACTCCTTTCAGTTGCCCTTATTTCCCTTAACTTCTTCCTTGCCTCAGTCAACTGATTGTAAAAGGGCTCTTTTTCCAGGAGGTATCTCTTATCAGATCACATTAGACCTAATTTATTACAAATCAGAAATTAAAAATGTAATTTGAAGAAATTTTCTATTTCAGTTCAGGGTCTGGAAATAGAATTTGTATTGTTTCATGTAAATGAAATGTAATGCAATTTTATGGGCTTGTGAGGCAATGGTTCATACACTACAGTACTTTTTTATTTGATTTTGTTTTCAGTTTTGCATTGCAGAATGCACAATATTTCATTTTATCAGTTGGTGATGCAAATCACCAAACAATTGTCCAACGTTTGGCAGACATTTTGACCAATTAAAGTTAAGCAATTCAGGATATCCTAAAGAATTAGCTAAGAAAATGTAGATAGGAATAACCCTGCTGATTCTTTCTGGGAATCAAATACAGCTCATGAAATGTGGACATTTTTCCTGGATTGGACAGGAACAAAGGAGGCATAATATCTAGTTATGACACAAGTATAGATTGACCAAAAATGCTTTTAAATTCCTGAAGAAAAGCAAAATATAATAAAAATAACTTATAATAAAGCATAGAGACATGCCTAATTTTTACAAAAGTTAGGAAATGAGGTATGTAGATTTCTTTTTGGATTTCATTCTATTTCCTATGATTTCATGATGCATTATTAAAGCTTCTACCAAGGTACGCTATGACATTTTAATAATATTATTTATATGATTGAAGTTGTACGCTGCTTAGTTAAAAGGGGTAAAACATGTTACATATCCATCCAACTTAATGAAATAGTACAAGCCACATGTAGTCCACTGGTGCCATTTCATTGCTCTAATAGGTAAAGCAAGAATAAATATTCAAAAGACAAAATGTAAATACTCTTAATTTAAACTGTACAAAAACTGGTATGTGAAATAGAAGTGAAATGGCGGATACAAATTCATGGGCGTTTTTTGTTGTTAAATAAAGATCCACATGTACATATATATTTATATCAGTGTCAAGCAACAATCCAGGTTGTAAACATCATGTGATTGTGAAATTGAAAATAAACCATGTCATTTTAAATATTGATACATTTGGATGCTGGATTTATAGCTATACAAGAGGGCAGTTAAGGTAGCCAGTCTTTATTTTCCCTAACATCTACTTAAATCTTAAAGATGTAGCATGCTTTCAGTCCATTCTGTTAATAAATAAACTGCTTTTCTATGTGTCTATGGATATTCTCAGTTCATCCAGGTTATCATTGTCCCAAATGTGCTTTTTCAAGAGGCAAAACCAGAAAATCCAGTTGCCTCTTGAAAAAGCATCTTTGGGATGATTCTCCATATATTATATCTTTATAAGCACCAGCAAAGTTAAATATGGAATCTCCATTATAATTTGGAATATATATGGAATCTCCCTAATAATTTGTTCAGATACATTTTTGTACTCAGAAGGAAACGAGGGATGCTACTTCCTCAGATGTCAAAGCATCATTGAAATAACCTGGTCTCAACAGTTTTGTTAAAGGCCGGGAGAATAGGAATATGTCTGTTCTCAGGTGTAATGAGAAGACAAGATAGCATTGGAGAAGGCTGGACCAAGAGATTCTCCCAAATTTAAATTTGTGAGGAATAGAATGAAAGTAGGGTCTTTCCTGCAGCTCTTAATGGATGGACAAAAGATGTTAAGAGTAGGCAGTCTGTAGATACCCAGGTCTTGAATCATGAAGACTTTCAAAAGTGATATCCACAGTAACACTTTGAATTGCACCTCTCTATAACTGCTCTGATAGCATCAAAGGCTGAATGAATTTGAGTGATTTTATCTTCCACACAGCTTCACAACCTAACCTCATTTAACAATAATAATTCTGAGTTGAATAGATCTCTCTGAATATCAAGTAGATTTCTAAGTCCCAAACTGGTATTCAGAAGTTGCTCCTGATTCTGGTTGGGATTTTTTTTTCTGTGTAATTATGAATTATAAACACTGATAATCTCATAATTTATCTAATATCACTTTAAGATTTCCAGGTCAGAGGCCACCACTATCACATGAAAATGAATTTTTTTGTTTGACAAAGTAATATATTTTCCTACTATTCAATATTATTAGTACGCTGTACTTTATATAATTATGACTGATGGAGAAAATGTGACCCCCAAATAGAGTGGATATATTTGGATATTGGCAATGAAAATACTTTCAGATTACCTACATCAATTTAGGTCCTTTGTTTATCCATATATCCTGGCAGGATTAAATTTGAAACTCCTTGTATTTTCTTCATTTTCTTACTTATTTAATAATGATATCAATTTATATGGTAGCTATTCTCGCTGGCAAACAGGTTTTAAATAAATTAAGAACAGAAACAAATGATAGACAAGAATATGTCTATCCATCTACTTGTCTATCATGCTACATTTAATACACATATTGACAGTGACATTCTGAATAATTAAAATTTTTCAAAACCATATTCATGGTAACTTGCTATTTAATGCATTCAAGCTTATTCCCAGATCAATAGATATAACATTGCAGTATCATTTCTTTTGACATGAAAGATAATTAACAAATTCCCAAGTGGTTACTCATAGTTGTCTTAAAAACTGCATTCTGCTTGAAAAAATCATGCAACACCCACTTGCTAAGGAGACTTGTTTGATCTTGCCCTGATTAGTCATATAGAGATTAATGTCAGTTATTACCAAATGGGTGTGCATTTCCTGTCTTTTGCTTATGTTGTAGTTAAGTGGGTAATGCACCACACTGCTTCTATTATTGCGCAGAAGCAAGCTTGGTGTGCATGTGTTGAACCTTCTTTCTTGAATCAGCTAGTGGTTTTCATACTCTTTGCCTAATAGAAGAGAAAAGCCATCTTGTGGTGGCATTTTCATCTAGCAGTGATTATTTTATAACATAAAACAAAGCCAGAAGAATGTTTGCTGTCTTTGGAAGAAAGAGAAATAGATATTCACACATACCTGGTGCTGATGGCAGCATTCATTAAATGGAATGGGGAGGCATTTGGAAGGTAATTACACATATACTTCATTAGTCATACTTTTTCTAAAAATTACATTCCCAGAATATAGTAAAAAAAAAAAAAGCCAAGGATCTGTCAGGAATGAAACCTGCCATATACTTTTTTTAAAAAAATGAAAGAATCAGTTATTATCCATAAATCTTGAATAATCTTATTTAAAACCATTTCTGCTTTCATCTGTCACCTATGTATTCTTGGAAACTCTTAATAACTCTCAAGTGCATGTGATGTTAAATGTGAAATGTCAGATGTGTGTTTTTCATTACAACCAGATTTAGACAAGGATGGTAGAACCTCAAAAAAAGATTAAACTTTTCTTTCATCTGTTCACTAAAAAGTAACTCATCTCTGGCTTCTGACTACATTAAAAAACTATATCAATACTTTGATAAATTTAGTATTATGGTAGAGAAATATTAAGCCTTTCATCTTTAGATGCTGGGGTCCTGTACCAAATCACTATACCCCAATAAATTGCCAGTGTAGCATGCCACAGATTTAATACCATCTTCATTTACCTTCTCAAGATCATACTATTTGAAAATTTACCATCATGGAGACTCTATAGCTCAAGTTCATCCCAGAGTTAACCTCATCTTTGCTTTCTGAGCTATTGCTTTGCAAAAGTTGCTTTTCAGTTGCTCTATAGCTCTTACCATTTAAATATTACCCTTTCTTCTAGAGGGGAAAAAAGGAAAAATTATTTGGCCCCAAATACTCTTAGAATTCCATTTTGTCTTCTTTTTTTTATATTCCAGAGAGACAACTATTTGTAATTAGCTGAAACACTATGATGGCCCAAATGTACTTTATTTTTTCTCTTAAATGTTCCAGGCCATAGCACAAAACACAGATCTTAAAGAACGGTTATGCAGAATACATGCCGAATCTATGCTCCTTGATTCAGCTGCTAATGCAAATTCGAGCCCTGATTTTGTAAAGGTGGGTATAGATTTCCTGTCTTTTTGCAATGCTCCTTGTTGCATCTCTCCTTCATTCAGTTGGTCATTGTCTTTCCCTAATGAATCTTCTCATCACATAGTATGGTCATCCAAACAATAACATCAGCTTTTGCCATTCTTTGTAGTGTTGCTGAACAGTTTGTATATTCCATGTTTTAGTTTTTTATATGTCAAATTCTTCTACACAACTTTTGCACTTCAAATAATTGTCAGAAACTTGCCTTTGTAAACAGAACCTTTTAATTCAGTCTGGGGAAAAATAACACTGTAGAAAACCCGTCAAGAAAAGCATTATTGTACATCAGTCCACTCAGATTGAAAAAAGGGGCTTCATTTGGGGGAGAGATAAGAGGTAAAAAAAAAAAAAATTCAAATTGAACTACAAAATGTTGTTATCAGCCAGGAATCAGAAAGCCAAGACCCACAAGCTGAATACCTTGCTTTTGTGACCACAGAAGCCTTCAAAATTTGAAACATAGCAAATGAAAACGTCAAATAAAAATAGCATGTTTATGAAAAAGATAAAATTATTTATGTTTACAAAAATGAACTGGGTGGGGGAATGTGGTAATTTCATTCCTGTTGCTTTTGGTGACAATCTTTTACTGCACAGAGACCATGGGTCATTCAAAAAATGTAGAAATTAACAAAGATGTGCTGTTTGATACAAAAAAATGAACATTCTTTAACTGGACACATGAGGTCGCAAAACAAAGGAAAAATATCTTTAGGCTTCTTTATGTCAATAACTACCATATCAATTTAAGTATTAACGAGAAACTATTTTGTGATGAAAAACATCAGATAGAAATAAATTAATACCTGTCTCACTATTTTTCTTTTGCTGAATCCAAATTCTTCACGATCTTGAGAGGTTTTGAGTATGCAGAAATTGACTAATTTCTCAAATACTCAAGTGATAACTATTGTAGCAATGGCATTGTAAGGCAATGCAAAGATTGAGATGAGACGACAGAAAATAATTGGTCATTATATCCAGCATTTCTTTTTGACCTTGTCAGTTTCTTTACTGCCCCTGTCCTTTTATACTGTATGTGTTAGCTTCTTACAATGCACTGTACTTCACAATTCTGTTTTGTTTTGCTGCTAATTTGCTGCTAGATAGGCTTTTTGACTCTCCATCCAACCAGGATTTTGCTACCTCTTTGCCTTAACCTCTATCTATCCATCACTGCTTGCAGTGATGTTGATAGATCATTTGTTCCATTTTGTGTGAAAACACATAACTAGTGTTAGTTCCTTAAAAAGGCTTAGAATGGTTTCTACGAGCAAAGTAAAACACCCATCTACCTTTCCTGACTCAGACAATGGAAGTTCCTAGATTTGCAAATCTGCTCTGTATGCATCATTATCCAGCTCACTATACCTTTTCTCTTTCCCTTGGGAGTATCACTTTGAGGCTAAATGTTTGCTCACCCTTTCATCATGGGTGGGTAAATCTACATCATTCCTGTGTTATATATAGGAAAAAGCACCATTGTATTTCAGAAAATAGTATTTTAGTAGAAACATAGGAAGCTTCTGCAATTATTATATAATTGAAGCATTATATAATTGCAATATTATATAATATTATATATAATCTTTGTATTAAAATCAACACATTTACCGACATGTTTGTAATCTGTAACTATTAGTATCGGGGGGGGGGGGGTAGTTAAGGAGTTCTTGACTTCCACTCTGAAATTCAGCTTTAACTGCCACTAGAAGGTGAGGTATTTAAGAAAAGTGTTAGACATATAAAATTCTTACGGTTCCGTGTTTTCCTTCCTAAGGTAATTTGAGTAGGCATTCTTCAATAGGGTTGATCAAGCAAGCTTTTATACCGGTAGTCCTTGACTTATAACCATTTGTTTATTGAACTTTCAAAGTTGCAACATTTTTAAAAAGTGACTTATGACCATTTGCAGATTTACAGCAGTTACAATGTCCCCACACTTAACAAGTGTGGCAAAACTCAATAACTGTTTTGTTTAGGAACAAAAAAATTAAGCCCAATTGTGGTCATACGTCAAAGGCTACCTGTATAGCCACATGTACTTAAAGAATATATGTTCTCTGCTGTAGTGCCTGACCTCTGGGATAGCACATCCCAGATACCCCAATATGTTGTTCCAAATAGTGTTGAAAGCCAGGCTGTGAGAAGACTGGGGTATGAGCTCTTGTAAAACATTTTATTCTGTTTGATATGGCTTTTCTGATTCTCTTTTTCATTGTTTTAACAGTTTACTATGTAAATGGCCCAGAATCAGTTGTAGTCAGACATTCTTTTAAATCTATTTTAATAATAAATAAACTATTGCTCATGACTGTTTTTAAATCTTTTTTTTGCAGGAAAGTTCTGAACATCAAAACAGGAGTCTAGTTCACCAAATATCCAACGAAAGCAGACTATCAATAACAGATTCACTCACTGAATTTTTTGATGCACAGGAAGTTCTGCTGTCTGCCAGTTCTTCAGAAAACGAGGTCTGGAAAGCAGTTCAGAAACACTGGATTTGTTTCAAAATCATGTAACCTTTATTATCTTTGCAATCTCAGTGCGACACTATGCACATTATTTCAGCACACAAAACTTACTTACTGGTACTTTCTGAAGTATTTTTAAGCGAAAGGGATTGAAAGAATGAATACAAGAAGTACTGCTTAAGTGAAGATATTGCTATGCTTTTCTTAGGAAGAAATCAGACATGATATTATTCCGATTAAAATCGGAATTCCGATTTTTTGGGGAATCGCCCGGGCGGGCGGCACGAGCGGCGGGTGGCGCGAGCGGAGCCCGGGCGGGGCGGAGGGCAGGCGGGGCGAGCGGCGGGCAGCGCAAGCGGAGGGCGGATGGGCGGGGCGGAGGGCGGGCGGGGCGGAGGGCGGGCGGGGCGGGCGGTGGGGGGTCTCTTTTGGCCGGCCCCGATTTTTTTTTCAGAAGGGAATATCATGCCTGGAAGAAATATTTAATTAACCCAAATTTGAATATTATTTCCATTTGGAAGTGGCCATATAGCAGGATTTTCCATAATGTGGAAATTATATTCAAGCTTACTTTAGTCTTGTCCATTCTTCAGGCTAACAGTTGCTTATATAAGAATTTTATTGTTGCAGTATCCATTTCAAACTTGATGTATTTTTATTTCCTTTGCACAAATGTGGCAGTATGTGAAAAGGGATTTTTTTCCTGCTTCATTATCAAAATAAAAGAATGTTTCCTTCCTCCCCAGGTGTCTGATGATGATTCATATGCCAGTGATATAAGTGATAATATTTCCGAAGACAACCTAAGTAATGACATAGACAATGAAAGGCAAACACTTGGTAGGCATCTTTATTTATTTCTGCTCTCTGATTTGTTTTTAATTTTGAACTACCAATAATTAGTAACCTAGAAATATGCAGATTAAGTTCAGGCTTTCATTTTAAATAACTGCTTTCTGCAGTTCTGATACTATGTACAGTGATATCCAAAGAAGGAATAACTCACATTTTAATGTGTAGTCTTTTGGTTTTCTCTTCTACCTTTGATTATGTTTTATATCGAGGGTCTTCAAACTTGGCAAGTTTAAGACTTGTGGACTTCAATTTCCAGAATTTGTGAGCTAAGATGACTGGAGGAGGAATTCTGGGAGAAGTCCACAAGTCTTAAAGCTGTCAAGTCCACAAGTCTTAAAGCTGTTCTATGTTCTTTCTCTCTTACACACCATTCCCCTATGTTGCATTTTGTATAATTTATGACTTGGGGGAAAAAGTTTCCATTCCTGTGCAGGAATGGAATCCAAGTCATTCCCCATATCTTGCAGTGTATAAATAACCAAGTTGTGGCAAAATATTTTAAAAAGTGATTTTACTGAGCCTATTCTCTCAAATGATGTCCAACAGAAACTGCATAGGAAAGGCCTGATCCTAAAGTTATGTGCAGTAGCTCACCACTTTTGCTATCTACAATCTAGGTTTCTTCCATTCAGATATCTTGTTCTGCCTACTGGAGGTGCTCTTATTTTATTTTTTTCATGAAGAAAGTGTAGAACTAAGGAAATGCTCCAAAATTATCAAAAAATAAGCCTTAAACATGCTTTACTTTTTATTAGGAATTTCCTATAGGAATCCTCATTGTGTAGGAATGGCAAGTGATGATATTCTACTTTATTATTAATGACCCATATTTTGTGTTTTCAGTCTGGGAATCTAAAATCTAATTAAAATAAAATGTGTTAAGATTTATATAATATAAAATGCAGATTTTAGCAAACAGATTTAAACATAATTATAGGGATAGAGGTAAAGATTATCTTGTTTTTTTATGCTTTTTTTCTCTTTAAACTCACCCTTTTTTTCTCTTTAAACTCACATTATCATATGGAAGGAATAGAAAAGGTCCATTTATGTAAATAAGACCCTTTAAAAAAATAGTTGTAATCTGCATGGGAGGGGTATACACAAATGGGATGGTTGTGTATATAGATAGCTATGTAAATGAATAAGAGAATTCTTATATGTATTAGATACGTAGTTGGTATTGCTCACCAATTACATGAACTCTTTGGAAAGTTACCCGGAAGAGAATGAAAGTGACTGACTAAAACAGATTCTATCTCAGATTCTATCTCTATCTCTGTTGGAAGCCAGGAAGCCCAGAGTTACTAAATGTTGGGTTGTCCCCGATCAAATCTTCACGGTTCAGCACAATATTCTTCTCAAAACTATATGTAACTGTATCTTCTATTCTGAGAAGTTTGGAAGAAATTACAGAACCAATATAATATATAAAAAGAATGTTAACCAAACAGAATGAATTCTGAAAAATATTAAATTGCCAAACTTAAACCTAACATCTGTCTTCAAGATTGTGTCCCAGATGGTATTATGGAATGCCATTCAAGGCGGAGGACACGTCTACCAGCCCCGTGCCCCAATACAAGTAACATCAGCCTCTGGAACATTCTACGGAATAATATAGGAAAAGATCTCTCCAAGGTGTCCATGCCTGTTGGGCTGAATGAACCTTTGAACACTTTGCAGAAGCTATGTGAGGAACTGGAATATAGTGAATTGCTGGATAAGGCAGCATTTACACCTAATTCCTTTGAAAGGATGGTAAGGAGAAATACGCTATGCTGAAAATGAGAAAATTATTTACTTACTTTATATTAAATTATATTACATTACACATTATATTACAACTTTATTTATTTGTTTACTGGACACCCATCTTATATAACATACTTTTCATAATAGCACACAGAACAGCAATACACAGAAAAATAAAAACATTTCAAACAACCAAGGTGCCATAACATTCCTATTCCAAATATACTTGTTCTGGGCTCAACAGATGAAGACCAAGGTCATCTTCAGGAAGGTGATGGAAAACCAATACACATATTTCTATTGAATTTTTAAAGAAACTTAATAGTCAGCTTGATTATTAAAATCAAACTTAGCTATGTGCTGGAATTTCAGAGTCAAATAGAAATAAAAATTCAAAATGGATCTTGACTGACTTGAATATACTTACCTGTCAATCCTTCTCATTACACTGAGAACAATGAAAATAGTTGGTCAAATATTATTCCATGAAAGCTGGTTCATACAAAACCTACCTATAGTTTTTTTTTCACATATGTCCATAAAAATAATGGTCATATGTGGGAAAATAATGTTCTTAGAAAGATTGCAATTATTGCCCCTTCAGCTAGGAAAAGAAGTATTTCATCACTGCTCATAGATGCAACTCAAAGAAGGAAAATGTGAAAGCATAACTGCATTCAAGAACATATTAGCTTATAGGAGGTATGGACCTTGGATGTCAATGTGATATTAAAATCTCATTTAAAAAATTAAACAACATTAAGAAAAATCTGCATACCTTTCCATAATCTACTTAATGTTACCAATTGTGTTCTTAGGTTTATGTGGCTGCTTTTGCAGTGTCTGCCTATGCATCTAGCTACTACAGAGCTGGAAGCAAGCCATTCAATCCTGTGCTTGGAGAAACCTATGAACGTATCTGTGAAGATAAGGGTTTCCAATTTTTTTCTGAACAGGTAATGCAATTTTATCAAGACACAGTTTGGAAAAACTTCTAATAATGTAGTTACATGCTTTCTTGGATAACCTATATTGAACAACTACCATTTTTATTTTCTCATTTCCCTTCATATTCCTACAACTTAAATTCAGACTTGCAAAAACCATAACATAGTGTAGTTACACAATAGGATAGACAAAATCTTGGCCCTCAAAGTCTTGCCAGTTTGTAGTATCTGTTGGAGAGCCAATGTTAATTATATAAAAATGAAGCATAGCATTTTTTGACTCAGTAGAGAGTCTGCAGTTCATGAAATTATTGTTGTGGGTCAAGAGAGTTATGAAGACAGCAAGACAGAGAGAGAATTTTGAGGAAAGTTGGAAGAAGTGAAAACGTTACTAATTCTGGTTTGTTATATTCTCCAAAAGTTTTTTGCTTTTTACAGCCAAACAAAGCAAAACCAAAAAGCAAAGATATTTTGGGATTTGCTCTTTTCCCCCTTCCCTATCTGAGTTATAATGAGAACAAAGTTTCTCTAGTTTCTACAACCTTAAGAGTTGCTAGTAGGACACACTCTATATGTAGCTCTTACATGAACATATTTTTCCTAACAGGAAATATTATTCCCATCCCATAGCAAGCTGCTTAAATGCTAAATATTTCATATGAGATTTGCCCTCCAGGTATCCTACTATGTAAAACAATCCAACAGAGAGAGGAGAGTGTCCTTTATGGTTTTGAAACTATGTACAGTAGAATTTTGTAGTCAAGCAGGCTTGTTTTTTATCAGCCATATTGCTTTTTTACATCTAGAACATTTTTAATTGCTCTAATTTTTTTAACATGACAGGGTTGTTAGTTTCTGAGTAATTATTTTTAGAAACAAAATTCCATTCCAGATGTTTGATGTTTATTGTTGTTATTCTGAACTATCCTATGAAGATTTGTACTGAAGAGTGCCGTGTATTTTGGAATTGATTCTGAAAAAGTGGGAAGTTGCAGGAATGTGAATGTAGTAGTCATGAGGAAGAGACAGAGCTGCTTTATAGACAGGAGCAGCCTTTAAGTCTCACCATGTTCCAAAACACTATTCAGTCTTCATCTATATAACTTTAGAAAATGATAAGTTCATTGGAACTCATTGCCAAGCCAGCCTTGGCTTTTTTATAGCATTTCATAGAATGGTTTAAAACATGTAATTTCAGTCCATTTGGAGAATGAAGTCTCACAATGCACATTTTGAAGTGTAAAACTGATGGGTTTTTTGGTGCAAGAGGCAACCTACCCTAGATGTGGGGAAGGTGGGAAAGAAATATTTTGAAGAGATTTTATCTGAAATGGCTTACTGTATGAATGACTCTATTTTTCAATATTATGTGTTTGTACCCCTGAATAGCATTGAAGATGCTTTATGAAATCCATGAAGTCTTGCTCTTCAAGTCTGTCTGATATGCGGAGCTAACTTTTATGTATCTTTGTAGTATTTGCTGACTTGAAATTTAAAGTTTGTTACAATATCAATATTAATATCAATATTAATATTTCTTCAAACAATTATTTAGCATTCTTGAAATTAGATGTTTATATTCCCATGTATATATCGATTTTTTACAAAAAAATAATCAGTAAATTTGCTTAGAAAAGAGAAAAAAATGAAAACCTGGAAATTTTATGAAGACACTTTCTGGCATTTTAATGATTGTACATAAAGGATGCAACATATTCAACTGGGTCCATAAACTCAGTTGCCAAGAGGAAATTGTTTGCATAAAAGTCAGGAATACAAGGAACTAGAAAAATCTTATTGCTGGAAAAGTTTGTAAAAATAAGTTTGAGAACAATATGTATTTGCTTTAACAAAAAATAAACCCTTTTTCCCAAAGTCCATGACTTATCCAGCACTTTGTAACATGGTTTTATACAAATCTTAGAATATTTGAGTATAAATCTTAGCTGTATTTTTTCATTTGTTTTATTTTCCGAACTTACATTTTCCTACAGCTTGAATTTTATTTAATACAGATCTTTTTAATTCACAATTCACCTAATATATACTTTTATATAAAGGATTCAAACATGGTTTCTAGTAAGTCAAATCAAAATTCATTATAGTCTTCTTTTGTTTCCATGGCCCTTTTTCTTCTATCATTTCACTGAATCCTTACCTATTTTATTCAGAAGAAAATGTATCAAACTTTAATTTCCATTATTTGTTTTAATTTTTTAGCACTACTTTATTAATAGTTGGTTTTTATTTTAATAGCTCCCTCTTGTGGGGTATCTTTTCTTCAAAGAAACATGAAGCCATTTCAAAAATAAATATGAGAACAGAAAGTAAATTTAATTGTAACCTTACCTTCCTTTCTTGTTAGGTCAGTCATCACCCAGCTATATCTGCATGTCATGCTGAATCTGATAACTTTATATTTTGGCAAGGTAACTCATTAATTTATATCATCAATTTTTGGAATGCAAGAACAAAGGAGAAAGATGTTTGAGTGGTATTATAATAATTTGAATAATAACCCAACTTTCTATTGAGATTTAGAATGCAGTTTTCCCCTATAACTGTGGAACCTGTTTTGGGATCAGCATGGAAACCTTTCGAAGTGTGATGGAAGTTTCTGAGAAAATAACATTTGCTGTCATGCACCACCCTCCACAAGGAGAATGTCCAAGGGGTTCCACTGTATTCAGCAATGTTACTTTGAAGTCAGATTAGTTTAGGGAAGCAACCTAAGTAAACACATTTGCCCTAGTTGTCATTTCTATATTTTTTAATCCTATTAGTGATGTTGCTTATTTTATTGATAGTAAGTTTGAATGGGATTTTGCACTTTCAGTTTTTACTTGCATTGTAAAATACTGTGACTCAATTTAATAGTATACAGCTTAGAACATAATAAACAAATGTTATTGTCAACAGGATGAATCCCATCATGTTTCCATAATAGTTACATCTATGTTCAGCTCTTCTGAAAACATAAAAATTGGATGTTACCTTATTATGGTTTTGTATGTTTAACAGCACTGTTGTAACCTTAAAGGTTGGATGTTATGATATCATTTTGATAATTTAGGGCTTATAAACTGATCAAAAAAGCTTAACTAAAGACAGAGTGCCATCAAATATTAAGGATTTGTTTAATTTTGTTGTTTATTATTTTTGTTTAATTTCAGATATCAGATGGAAAAATAAATTCTGGGGAAAATCCATTGAAATAGTACCAATTGGCACAACACATGTAATTTTGCCAGGGTAAGTTCTCCAGTAGCAAGCATGACAGTTGGATTGCTAGCAAGATCACATTTTACAACTCAGTTGTTTTTAAGCCTCATTTGTTCACTTTCTTTGGTTTAATAAAATATAAGTTATAGGGATTGAATTTTCCACATAGATTTTCTCATGTTAATAAAATAATATTTTCTGTGACTTGTTTTCTATTAAACAGTTAATGTGAGCTAATTTTGTGACATTTAAATTTTAAGTTTTTTTCCAATTTAGCATTTACTTGAAAACCTATATTCTTGATTGCACAGCCTTATTATAATTGCTTTATGGAGAATTAGTGAAAGAGAAGTATTTTAAAGAACTTTGATTTAGCTGCTTTTTTAGTTCAGCAAGTCAGTATTTAGGAAGTCAGTATTTTTCTCTCAGGAATATTGAATGGTTGGTCACATTGTGCAAAGCCATAATCTGTGTAACCATTTGTTTGTTTGCTTGTTTATTGAATAAACTAATACTGAATGACTTTATACTGTCTAAGTGATAAACATGTATTTTATAAAACATAGTGGTTAGATACAGTATTATATGCTAAGCCATAATGCTATAAAGCACCATATGGTTGAGAATATGTCAAGCAAGCATTATCTCAGTTTCTCTGAAAAGATCAAATCCCAATATTTTGAGTATTTTAGAAAAATACTTTATTGGCTATCTTTTTCTTTCATGATGCACTAATAATTCTTTATTAACTCCAGGTTTAAGGACCATTATGAATGGAATAAAGTAACATCTTGCATTCATAATATTTTAAATGGGCAACGATGGATAGAACACTATGGAGAGATTATAATCAAGAATCTGAATGATGATAGCTGTCACTGCAAACTTACTTTTGTAAAGGTAATTGGGACTTATTTAGTTTTTTACCTTCCTTTTATTTTGTTTTGAACTTTTAACATGATACAGATTTTGCTAACTTTTCTCCAGACTAAATATTGGAATCGCAGTGTTCATGATATTGAAGGCAATGTTTTGGACAAAAATGGAAAAGTAGTACACCGGCTTTTTGGAAAATGGCATGAAAATATTTATTGCGGAACACCATCTTCACCAAATTGCATTTGGAGAGCAAGTTAGTGACTGATGAGCCATTTAATTTTTAAGTTTGATATATTGTTGTTATTTATTATAGATTGTTGCACTGTCAGAAGTTCAGCTGAATTTGGCGTTTTTGTTTATCTAATTAGTCATTTCCAAGGACCTGGGATAGGCAGATGGGGATGTTTGATGGTGTTACCTATATCGTTGCAGGACATAAGCTGATCAAAATAAAGACACCTTTTGCAATTGACTGATAGTGAATTTGTGAAAGCCAGTGGTGTTCAAGTGGTGCTTCAGTTGTTTTGGGATTGCACCCAAGGCACCTACTGGTACTACACTTGCTTGCCTTTGCCATAGTCATTCTATTTGTGTTGCAGATCTTTGTATTTTTTTATATCCTCCTGTTCTTTTTCTTCTATTCTGCTGTCTCTAGATACTGCCATGTCCATTAGCCAGACTTTTTTGTCTTACTGACAATTGTTAAGTCTGGGGTGTTATGTGATAGGTGTCTGTGTGAATTCTAAAGTCCCAAAGCAATTAGTTTATTCATTTTCTATGATTTTCTCTATTTTATGGTCCCAACAGTTCTCGCTTGCAGGCAAATTATATTTCTTGCTGATTTTCCAGTGCACTATTGTTATTATATGTCATGCTGTTGCTTGTAGTCAGTCTGTTTCTTCAGCTTCTTAGCAGAGATAGAATTTGCTATCTGATGCTGTCTTCTCAATTTTGGCTTTGTATGCATTTGTTCTTAAGGCTTGGTCTTGTGCAGCAAGAATTAGCCCCTCTGTCGCTTTCTTCAACTTTCTTACTCTTGGCCATTGCCAGCTCTTATTATCAGTTTTCCCTACTGTTTTTAATGTATTGGCCATGAAATGCTTTGTCTTCCCATGTCCCCATTCTATTTTTCATTTGATCTTTTTTGTGTCCAGTGGTCTCTCATATAGTCAGCAAGCCTTCCTGGTATTCTAGCTTCAGCGCATCTTCTTCACTGTCTTTTGTATTTTCTTCCAATGCACTTTTTTCTTCTTCAAACGTGTCAGTTGTACTTGCAATTTTCCATGTCCACCTCTTTTCTTTGGTAGGTAGAGTCTGACAATGTTACTGCAAGGATGAAGGGCATGATTCATTGTCATTATTTTTCTGGTCTTCCTATCCAAGTTCAGTTTGTGTCCACTATTCCAGCTGTGTATCTAATAACTGGAATTGCCCAGGTGTTGATTGCTTTGATCATATTTCACCGAGTTTGAACTTTAAGATCTTTTTCACTCCCTTGATGTATTCACTTGTATTTTTTTTCTTGACTTTGATGTGCTTGATGCTGTCAACTTGAAGGATGCCCAGTATTTGTAGTGATCTTCTTCATCCAGTCTCTTGATGTTATTTCTGTCTGGCATATTGATTCTTTCCATTTTCACTATTCTTCCACACTTGCTAGTGGGCATGGTGCATTTGTCCAGTCCAAACTCCATTGCAATATGAATAACATTGAGCAGCAACTCTATTTCAAATGTTTTTCCATAAAGTTTTGATTGCCATGAATTATTCAGTATTGTTGACAGAGAAGTCAGTGCAATGATAAACAATAATAGTGATAGTGAATCTCCTTGAAATATTCCTCTCTTAATATTAATCTCCTAGTCTCTCCCCATTGACCTGCAACCATGTCTTCCATTGAGCCACTGATCTGTGCACAAGCTTCTGATGTTTTACTGACTCCTGTTATTTCTAGACATTTGATTATCCAATCATGCGGCAAGAGAATCAAGTGCATTTTTATAGTCAATCCATGCTACATTCAAGTTGGTCTTCCTTCTCTTGAACTTTTCCAGAATCATCTTATCAGTTAGGAGTTCATCTTTTATTCCTCTGATAGTTGGGTGGTTTCCTTTCTGCTGGGGTGTAAAGAGCTTATTTTCAACTAGATGCTGTTGGACTGCATCAGTTACCATACCAGTTAGTAATTTGAAAGTTGTTAAGAGATAATTGGCCTGTAGTTGCCTGGTGCTGTTCCTTTTGCTGTTAATCAGGTAAGTATTTGTAAACAGCAATGGATCAAGCCCAGTACTTCCCAGTCAAACCACAGGCAACTACAATGATCTAATAAATATCGATTTTACAGAAGACATTGTTATGCTGCATCACCTGTAAAGTCATGGAATCAATTATTAACCAAGCCATTATCCTCCACTTAGAGACAAACAACCTACTCTCTAATAAACAATTTGGTTTCAGAAAAAAACTATCCTGTAATCTGCAACTCTTACACTGCAAAAACATATGGACTACACAACTCGATCAGGGCAAAGCAATAGACGCAATCTACATAGACTTCTTTAAAGCCTTTGATTCAGTGGTATACAACAAACTACTACTAAAACTAAAATCTTATGGACACCTACATAACTGGACAGAGGCATTCCTGTCAGACAACAAATGGTCAAAATTGGGAGCGTCCTATCAAATTATGTACCTGTCAACAGTGGTGTCCCCCAAGGCAGTGTTTTAGGACCAACTCTCTTCATACTCTACATAAATGACCTCTGTGATCATATCAAGAGCAACTGCGTTCTCTTCGCTGATGATGTAAAGCTATTCAATACCACAGACAATACTACTCCCCTCCAAAAAGACCTTGACTATGTATCAGAATGGTCAATCAAATGGCAACTTCAAATCTCAACAAATAAATGCTCTGTCTTACATATTGGCAGAAAAAATCAAAAAATAAAATACAAGCTAAATAGTCAAGACTTTGTTGAGGATCCAAACTTTGTCAAGGACCTTGGAGTACTCATCTCTAATGACCTAAGTGCTAGAGCCCACTGTAACTACATAGCCAAAAAGGCATTAAGAGTTGTTAATCTAATCTTATGTAGCTTCTTCTCTGGTAATATCACACTACTAACTAGAACATACAAAACATTTGCTAGACCTATACTCGAATACAGCTCATCAGTCTGGAACCCATATCATGTATCTGATATTAATACAATTGAAAAAATCCAGAAATATTTCACAAGAAGAGTTCTCCTCTCCTCTCCTCATTGCAGAATACCTTATGCCACCAGACTTGAAACTCTAGACCTAGAAAACCTAGAACTATGCCGCCTCCGGTCCGATCTAAATATAGTATATAAAATCATACATTGCAATGTCCTACTTGCAAATGAATACTTCAGCTTCAATCATAACAATACAAGAGCACACAACAGATACAAACTCAAGGTTAACCACACCAAACTTGACTGCAGAAAATACAACTTCAGCAACAGAATGGTCAATGTTTGGAATACTCTACCTGACTGTGGTTTCTTCCCCAAACCCCAAAAACTTTAACCTTAGACTGTCTACTATTGACCTTACCCCCTTCCTAAGAGGCCTGTAGGGGGCGGTGCATAAGTGTATTAATCGTGCCTACCATCCCTCTCCTATTGTTTTTTATTTTTCTTATAAGTATCTATCTCATGTATTCAAAACTATATTTATTCTTATACCTGTATCTGGTAAGCGATTGACAAATCAAATAAATACTAAAAAGTTTTGCTAGATGTTAACCACTCCTTGCACTATGTTGTTAACTGCAACAAGAAGGTATAGACCAGTCAGGTCCTTCAACCAAAAGCCCTGCAGTTCATCTTCACTTGGTGCTGACCAATGCTTCCTTTTCCTTGCTCTTTTCTCTACCATTTCTATTGGTATTACAAGTTATTTCATTACATCTTTTTTCATCTTTATTATTGCAAAATCAGGATGTTCAGGTCTAATAAGTTTAAAATTTCCATGTATCTAGGCAGCCCTTTGGGTATTGCTCCAAGGCTCTTGTTACTATTGGTACAACTATTGATTTCTTTCTCCATAATCTATTATTGTTCCTAATCTAATATTTCATTTTAGCAAATTTCTCTGTAGTACTTTATAATATAGTGCACTGTTAGTTTTATTGAAAATTTTACTAATTAGTAAAAACTGTTTAAATGGAACAAGATTAGAATTGATTGGTTCATTTTCTTAGAATGATATATTTTATAAATGTTAATTTCATAAAGGAAAGAACACTAATATTATCCATATCCAACTTTATAAAACATTATCATAGGAAATAGGATTTTTTGTTCTCAATGTTGTATGAATCCAGCCTGTGTACAGTATACTTAATAGATTTGGATGTTCAGCTATACAAATGGTCTTGGATTATATACATTGTCATTTATTTGTTTTACTGTATTGACAATTCATGCCAGGTTTTTCATGTGTATATATGGCAGCCAGATATTCACACAAGACTCCATTTTGTGCACACTCAAAATTATGACTGACCTACATGACATTCAATTTTCACAAGTGTCTTCGGTGTACAAGTGTCAAAGGAAAAAAAATCAGTACATAAGTAACACTACAATGGCATTAAGACATTAAAACAATATTACTGAATATTTTTACATTTATATTATCATTAAACCTTACACAAATTCAAGAAATCTTAAATATGAAAAAATAGTGTCACTATTTTTAAAAGGGAGTACATCAAAAGCATAAAAGTGCATATAAAATTTATGTTGCTGTTTTAACTGTTGGTGAGAGTAAGACAATTTTAGAATTATTGCAACTAATTTCAGACATAGAATTTTAGAATTTGAAAGCTGAGGTACCAACACAAACACAAAAAAACCCTTTGGCGTTTGTTATATAAGTTTTTTTTTAAAAAACTAAGACTATAATATTTTAATGGGAAAAGGTATAATTTTTACCTAAGAATTTATTATATTTTTCTTTTCAGATCCAATGCCTAAAGACTATGAACAATGGTATGGTTTCACACAGTTTGCATTAGAATTAAATGAATTCGAGCCCATCAGTAGATCACTGTTGCCACCTACTGATACCCGATTTAGGCCAGATCAAAGGTAATTTTTTTAAACAAAAACTACTGTATAAACAAAATACAGAAAGATGTTATTGTCAAGACGTTTTGCTCCTTCAAAGAAAAGATATTTCATTCTAATGGTGGAAAAAGCACTGATGATTTTACCTGTCTCAAAAAAATTTGCAGTTATTGTTTTAATTACTCTTCACTTCTAGAATCATTCTACTGAATTTTCTCATAGCCATTTGTGCCCAATGTATACACAGACCAAAGCAAGACAATATGAGAATTACACAACTTTAGTATATATCAATATTGTTTTCTTCATGTAATATTGCTTTATAATAGGTTCTTAGAAGAAGGAAATATTGAAGGTGCAGAAATACAAAAACAAAGAATTGAAGAGCTGCAGAGAGCACGGAGGAAAGTTCTAGAAGAAAGCAATATAGAACATCATCCTAGATTTTTCAGGTAATTTATAACATGACAGGTTAGTCATGTTGGATTTTTGTTATTGAGTAACAGATAAATAAAATAAAAATTGCTCATTTCTCATAATGTTTTATGGTGAGGACTTCTTTATTGATGTTTTCTGGTTAGAACAGCCTGTAGAAATCAAATAAATATTGTTTTATCTCATAATAAAATGACAAAATTTCAAACAGAAGTATGTCAGAAACAGTATAAAATTCAGATAGTTCTTAACTTATTACCAAAATTGAGCCCAAATGTCTGTTGCTAAGCAACATAGATGTTAAGTGAATTTTACCCCATTTTATGACCTTTCTTTGCCACAGTTGTTAAGTGAATCACCGCAGTTGTTAAGTTAATAACATGATTGTTAAGTGAATCTGACTTCCCCATTGACTTTGCTATCAGGTTGCAAAAGATGGTCACATGATTCTGAGACATAGCAACCATCATAAATATGAATCAGTTGCCAAGCATCTGAATTTTGATCATGTGACCATGTGAATGCTCCAATGGTCATGTGAAAAATAGTCGTAAATCACTTTTTTCAGTGCCATTGTACCTTCAAAACATCACTAAATGACAGTTCACTAAATGAACTGTTGCAAGTCAAGGACTATCTATAAGGAGTAAAGGGGAGAAATTCATGTATTGGAAAAAAATACTTTGTTCCACTCTCTGTTCAGAAATTCATGTGGAGTTTTATTATTTTAATACAAATTTTATATCAAATTTGTACAAATACAAAATACTTTTAAGTCTTTTCCACTGTATGACAGTTCTAAGAAGAGGTTAAAGTAGAATGAAGGGCATTAAAAATGATGAAAAGTTCAGTATCTCCAGTAGTCTAGCTAGACACTCCATTACCTCTGTCTATTAGATAGGAAAATAAAAGCAGATGTATCAGCCACAAACAAAATTGTTTCTTTACTATTTTACAGGAAATCTGCAGATGACTCTTGGGTAAGCAATGGAACTTACCTGGAACTTAGAAAAAACCCTGGATTTTCCATGCTGGATAATCCTGTGTTGTGGTGAAAAAGAATCAAGTGAAGAGGACCTTTAACAATCCTTTTCTGTTTATAAGGAAGGAAATGCTGCATATAATTTTGATCTTATAGACTATTACTTAAGACTTCGGCATGCATATATACTTCAATGTATTTCTCTTCTATTTCAAAATTAATATATTTTCAAATTTACAAAAACTAATTTTCTTTATATATAAATCGATGATTACTGAATGTTATTTTTAAATGGAGACAAAAGAGAGATTAACACTATTTTTCCAAAGGATGATGCAAGTAAGATTTAATGCCTTATATAAAATTGTGTGACAAATATTGAGTCAGCAGCATTTGGCCACACAAAATACAAGCAAATAGCTGACATTGATCCCTCAGCAGGGCAATACCAAAGCTGCTGTTTATTTATTATATCTGTTCTTTTGACTGGACTATTTTTCAACAGATTCAGTACCTTTATATTGTATCTAATGAAAAAAAATATTCCAAGAAATAATCTAAGTGGTAGTAGTATTGGTAATTCTACTGCCTTATAAAACAGATTAAAAACTTTGGGAAGTTCTCTTATGACTTGGTGAAATAAACTGAAAACTGTTGAAGAATTGAAGAGTTTAGTAGAACAGAAGAGATTCCAAGAAAATTGTGTACCAAAGGATGTATATGGATAATGCTGTATAGGAAGCTGCTGCAACTCCTTTGAAAGAGATACTTTAAAAAGCATACAAAGCACTTCTTTAGAGTAATCATGATTTTTTCTTCTTCTCGGCTTCTGTGCCTGGGAAGTTGCTTCAAGCTGCCTTCATATGTGCATAGACGCACAGACATTTTACTTCATATGGATACAGCCATATAAGTCTGGAAAAAAGCATGGCTGCTTGAGTGATTCAGTACTTTCTACACACACACACACACACACACACACACACACCTACCTGAAACAAAGTCTTAAAACTCTACAAATATAGAAAAATACCTCCTCCGTTCAATCCTATTCCTTGATGGTCTCATTATGTTACTAGGCAGACTCCTGTGACTTCCCAGAAGCTCAGGAGATGAAATATATAACCCTGATCTTTCAAAGGTTCCTCTTATCTAATCTAGAACATGGGTAAATTTGACCAAATGAAATAATCTGAGCTAAGTACTGACAGAACTTTTTAGTTTCACTCTGTAGACTTTCCACTTTAAAAAGTAATTAAAACAATATAAAAATCCTTCATTTTAACAATTTGCAAAGTAATTGTGTTAAAAGACAAATGTTTTTCTAATACAATATTTTGGTATTTTCTACCTCTTCTAAACAGTTTGTTTAATATCTTTTTTTTTTTAAGATGACCATCTGCCTTAGATAAACATTTGAAAATATATGACCTTGCTTTAAATCTAGAATTGGGTGATTATTTGTCTTGTAGTAAATGGTTACATGTTTTCCAGTATTTTGGTTTATATTGTAATATGTTCATTAGCAGACTTGGCCAGCATCAGAAATAAACAAAAACAGCATTTTGGAATAAAATTCACAACCTTTTGTTTATTAAATTAATTTTATTTTAGTATCATGCATGATATTCTAAAAAATACTGTCTGGACCCTGACTTTTTGTGTAAGCTTCAACATTTTGCATCCTGCAAACCAAGGAATGATGTTGGCATATAGCGTTGAATACTTTTATTACAAAATATTTGTTACAATTTATAAATATGGATGATAAATCCATTGATTTCAAACAATACACAAAAATACTGCATTACCCCAAACAATTTCTATGGAACACAGCTCAGGTCAATTGTCTCAGCCTTAATATTTGGAGAAAGCAAATAGATTACTTAGTTTGAATCAGGACATTAAGAGAGTGTCGTGCATTAGTGTTTATCTGATCCTAAATTGAAGACTACCAGATCATCATCTGAAACAACCAGCTCATTCTAAAAATTCCATGAGTCCTACATTGATACAGCATTGCAACAATTTCATCAAATCGTTTTCATCATGAAATGGCAAAGCAGGGGATTTACTTCTCTTTTTCCACATTTGCAACACTTTATTTTAGATTCTAAAAATGGCATATACAACAAGTACAGGAGGAGTGCAGTGTTAAGCACATGCTTTAACCTGAGAAATTTGGAACCTTGAGATAGTCATTTCATAGATAATCTGAACTTAGACTTTTGTAATATATTTTCTTTAATTTACATCATTTTTGTATTCTATTCAGCTATGAATTTCACTGTTTGCTTAGTTTTTTTTTATAAATGGAATGAGGAAATTTATTCTATAGAGTCAGAAACAGTGCTTTCCAAGCTCAATTTATGAGAAAACAAGACAGATTTTAAATGATATAATGATAAAATATTAAGAGATCTTATGGCATTTTATTTAGATAGATCCACTGGCTATAGGAGTCGAGCAGAACCAATCAAGCAGCTCATTTACAATAAAATTTATTTGTCAGAAATTCTGGCTTCCTCTGATATGCATTTCTCCAGTAATTTAGCTTCATCACAGAGATGCAGAACTCCAATTGCATACATTGTACTAACAATGGAAAGTATCATATCAGAGCCTATTCTGTCAGTTTTTATGGCAGTCAGTCATGAAAAAATTACTTGGTTGTTAAAAAAATCCAGCTTCTCTAATAGGAATTTTTTTGCCAGAAATCAGCAAAAAAATGTAAATCACAAGACTGCAAGATGCAGCAACTTGTTATAAATGTGAGCTAGCTGCCAAATGCCTAAAGTGAAGTTATGTGACTGCAGAGGAGATACGATAGTCATAAGTGTAAACATTGGACATAAATCATTTTTTCAAAGACTGTCATACCTTTGAACTATCATTAAATGAACAGACATAAATGAAGAACTATATAAGGGTCATTCTTTTAAAATATTTATAGTGGTAAAAAGAACCTAACTAATGCAAATAATTGTTAATATGTTACATCATCACCATAATACCCTATTAGCCCTTCAGGTTTTGCAAAACAAATGTTTAAAACATTGTGGTACAAGGCCATATATGCTGCCTCTGCTCATATTCCTAAATTTCAAATGGTCCAGCTCTGTGCTCTGAATAATCAGGATTTTAATATCAACTTCTAATGTATGTAATTTGTGGGCATCAAAAAGGAGAAAAGTTATCTGAGAATTGAAAAACTCATGCACAAATTCAGTTTCAAACAAATATGTTCCAACTACTTTACTGGCTATAAAGTACAGTAATGGAAAATCCATGTCTCTATAATCTCTTAAGGGCCCGCAGGCCGCACACACATATGCACATGTGGATCAAGGTCATAGGTTGCCTGTCCATGTTGCAATTATAAGTAGCTGCTTTGTTTTTGAGTATGCAAGTTTATCTAAAATTAAAATGTGAAAATATATCTCCACATAATATACAAATACTTGAAACTTATTTGCAAATACAAAATTTGAAAAGGAAAAATTAATTCTAAAACATGAAAAACTGGAATTTTGACTTGATCTTAAAATTATGAGACATTACAATATGAAATTGGAGTTGGATTAGAAATTGGAGAAATGATTCTCAGTTTTCTGAAATTCAGAAATCTTGAAGTAGGACATTTGAGATACGCATTTGGGTACAATAATTTAAAATTCAAATAAATTGATGTTGGAGCATTTCATATTATTGGGACCACTATGAAAAATAAAACCTTAAAAGGCATGACTACTTTCTTAACCAGACTATGAATCTGCAAGCAGCACTTAAGATGTTTGTATGTTCAGTGAGGCTCATTTGGGAGATCTACGCGTGGAAGTAACTAGTTGTCATATTTAAATGTACAAAACTGCAAATTTGAAAAATTAGTTCACTTGAAATTTAGAAATAGTTCAATGTTCCAATACTAAATCAATTTGTAATATTTTAGTCATTGTAGCATTTATTAGATGTACTTTATATCCACTCATTTACCGATATTCCTACATTTGATATTGTTGCCAATTACTTGTGATTGAGTTTGTAGCGGTTATTCCAATCTGTAATAACTATTCCAGACATTATCTAAAATGAATGCTATTAAATAATTGTTTAAACTGAGAAGCTGAATGAAAAACCTAAAACAGCACAATTTTGCAAAAAAAAATATATCAGGCTCTATAAAGTGGTAATGCAAGCTTGATCCTATGCTCAGAGATCATACAATATAGCATGCCAAGATCTAAATGTCTTTCCTTTTTATGCTTGTCCTTTTAGCCAATACTTTTTGAAATCTAGAATACATAGGGATATTCCTATGTTTGCTGCAGAGAGAACCCATCCCCCTGACTCGTATGTCACTATCAACAACCTGGTGCTTGCATGCAACAAGCAGAGAAAAAATTCAGTTCTTCTGAAGCCATTGGAAAGTAGCATTTCCTCCAATTGCACATATACATTGAGAGTAAATGCAATTTCTTATGCATTTTCTACCCTAAATTTTGCTTCTTTATTACAGAAGGTGACTTCATGCTTCCTATCTTCCTGATCATAGTTTAGCTAGCATCAATTCCATTTCTGAAAAGCACGTATTTAAAAAGGTGGAGCAAAAGCAGATTAGATATACAATTCTTATGAATTATTTGAAATTTGTTACTGGAGCGGGGTGTCCTCAGTTTTTCAACTCAGTCTGCAGAGCTATGAGACTAGAGACTATCCATCCTGGATTCTCCCTTCGGCTCAGTGGAGAACACAACTTTGAATCCTAACTTCAAAACCAGTCCAGCAAATAATACATAGTAATATGCAGTATTGGCAGATACCTGCTTCATTTTATTATTATTTTTCTGTGGTATACATGCAGTAGTGTGCTATTCTTTTTTCCAAAATTTCATCAACCTTGCTATGTTGTTTCAGGGCTATTTCATACTAACATTTTTACTTTCTGAAAATAAACAATATATTTTGAACTAAACATACTTAGGAATGCATGAATAGAAGCAAAGATGTAACAGTAGCACTCCACTATAAAATCAATATTCAATGATTTATAAGTATCAAATTCTACACTAAGTTGGTGCAATTTTCGAATCTGAGCACTTGCATTATATTATGGATGGAATGATTTAAATTATTTAAAATGATTTCCACTTTAAACTCTTTGGACTGCAGTGAGAATATTGCATTTCTTTTAAAATGGGATTATTTGGATGGAATAATTCTAACATATCAAACTCATTGGGCTGCACCTTGATTTTATTCAGTTGAACAAGTCTCACTCTAATCTGAAAATTAAGTTAGTCATAACTCAATTATATTGATTTCACTAAATCAACAGGGTAAGTTTGAATTCGTCTTGATAGGAACTCTCAAACTGCACTTACTTAACCACAAAGAGTATCCTGAACAATCTGTGTTCTGAATACAAAATAAAAACTTTCATATTTGGAATGGATGAAATTTTAATATATTGGACATGTAAAAGGTGCTTAATTTTATTTACTTAAATATTTAATATTGTAGAAAATTAAATTACACAATGTAAGCAAATGAAGTGAGATATTCTAATTTGAGTAATATAGTAATGACATTCTTGTACTTGGAATTTTTTTTGACATAAGATTTAAAAGGGCAGCTAGACTTGTGTGAAGAAGGTAGTGTGATAAAATCTGCATCCATTTTAAGACATTATAAAGCAAGCAGAAAAAAAATATATTTTTCAATAGACCACAATCTTAATTAGTTTCTTCCTTAAAAAATTATTTTCAAGTTTTCATTCAGAGTAATAAATCTGTTGTTCTTCTTTCTGTATAATTACATTAATACTTATGTCAATTTCGGTTTTTAAATGTTTCAGAATCTCGTTGTTAGTGTGAAGTATTTATCCGGTTATCTCCTTAATTCTCATATATTCATGCATGCTTGATCCATTTTACTCCAATATTAATTGTTCAAATTAATATCATGCTATGTTGATTTTATATTGGGAGGATGTTAACTTAACCCTGCTGATGGACTATCTTGCGATTAAAAATAATCTCATTAATTGCTGCATTGTGATTTTTTTAAAAGTTGCAGTTATCTTCCAGGTTTTCTTACACAATAAAAGAAATCCTGATCTGACAATAGATTTTATCTCTGTAACCATGTTGTTTATTAATAAATATTTAACATCTCAAGTATTGTGTTGCATCTGATTTAAAAAAAAACATTCAATTCTTGGAAGTATGCTTTCAAGAGAATAGGACAGTTGGAGGTCTGATATAATATGTACATATCATTGTGTTCCCGACAAAAAAATGGTTTAAAGTTGATATAGTATCTACCTACTCTACAAATTAATAAATAAAATACCATGTTATAATACAAATTGAACACTGGTGTAAGAATGTGCAAGGCTTGGTAATCTTATTGGCAAGCATAATTAAGTTGGAACATAGCTCCAATTGAAAACTCAAGTAGAGTTATTTGTTTAAGGTAAGATAAGCAAGCCTTTGATAAGATAATAAAGATAGAACCATAAAAAATAGACTAATTTCTTAGAAAGAATGTTGCTGAAATACTTCTAAGAATCTACAATGTTTTGCTTGATTCTAGTATTACTATTATTTTGTGAAACACCTAAAGAACATTGGCTGTTGGATAATTATTTCAAATTTTGCTTTTACTTCACGGCCTTAAAAAGTGGGCAAATGTAGTCTATAAGTAAATAAGCAAATATAACTAACTAACAACTAAAGCTGGCACATACTAAACTGAATGAATGACAGATCTCAGCATGAACTAGACAGTCTACCCAGTCTATTATGAATACAGAATTCTGCCTTATGTCTTATTAGTATATTTTTATGTGGTTACAATTTTATGTGGCTGTATAAGCTTATATTTCAATATTAATACATACTGATGGCTTCTTTGGTTAGAAAAGAT